GATCATACAGTATTTGTCTTTCTATGCCAGGCTTACTCCACTTAACATAATGTTCTACAGGTCATCCTTGTTTCAGGGATTTCCTCCTTTTTAAAGTCTGAATACTATTCTATTAGATATATCCCATTTCCTTTATCCATTCATCCTTTGATGAACACTTAGATTGCTTCCACATATTGGCTATTGTGAATAGTGCTGCACCAAACATGGGAGCATAGGTATCTCTTAAACTTATTGATTTTATTTCCTTTGGATATTGATACAGTTTAAATGTGTGTCCCTGCCCAAATCTCATATGGATATGTAATCCCCAATGTTGGAGGTGGGGCCTGGTGGGAGGTGATTGGATCATGGGGGTGGAGTTCTCATGAATGATTCAGCACCATCCCTTAGTACTGATCTCACAATAGTGAGTTCTCATGAAATCTGGTTGTTTAAAAGTGTATATAGCAGCCGGGCGCAGTGGCTCAAGCCTGTAATCCCAGCACTTTGGGAGGCTGAGGTGGGTGGATCACGAGGTCAAGAGATCGAGACCATCCTGGTCGACATGGTGAAACCCCGTCTCTACTAAAAATACAAAAAATTACCTGGGCATGGTGGCGCATGTCTGTAATCTCAGCTACTTGGGAGGCTAAGGCAGGAGAATTGCCTGAACCCAGGAGGCGGAGGTTGCAGTGAGCGGAGATCGCGCCATTGCACTCCAGCCTGGGTAACAAGAGCGAAACTCCGTCTCAAAAAAAAAAAAAAAAAAGTGTATATAGCACCTCCCCTCTTGCTCCTGCTTTTGACATGTGACATGCTACTCCCCTTTTGTCTTCTACTATGACTAGAAGCTTCCTCAGGTCTCCCCAGAAGTAGGTGCCATTATACTTCCTGTACAGCCTGCAGAACTGTGAGCCAATTAAACCTCTTTACTTACAAATGACCTAGTCTCGGGTATTTCTTTATAACAATTCAAGAATGGACTAATACAGAAAATTGGTACTGAGGAGTTGGGCATTGCTATAAAGATGCCAGAAAATGTGGAAGCAGCTTTGGAATTGGGTAACAGGCAGAGGTTACAAGAGAGTTGAGAGCTCATAAGATAGGAAGATAAAGGAAAATTTGGAACTTTTTAGAGACTGGTTAAATGGCTGTGACTAAAATGCTGATAGTGATATGGACAATGAAGTTCAGGCTACCAAGATCTCAGATGGAAATTAGGAATTTATTGGGAACTGGAGCAAAGGTCCCTTCTGTTATGCCTTAGCAAAGAGCTTGGTTGCATTGTGTCCATGTCCTAGGGATCTATGGAAGTTTGAACTTGAGAGTGACAACCTAGGGTATCTGGCAGAAGAAATGTCTAAATAGCAAAGCATTCAAGATGTAGCCTGGCTGCTTGTAACCACCTACTCTAAGAAATGGGAGTAAAGAAATGACTTAAAGCTGGAACTAAGCAGTGTAAAAGTTTGGAAAATTGGCATTGGCTATGTGGTAGAAAAGAAAAGTTCATTTTCAGAATTCAAGTAGGGTTCTAAGCAACAATTTGCTAGATAAATTTGCATAACTAAAAAGGAGGCAAGTTCGGATAGCCAAGACAATGGGAAACAGGCATTTCAGAGACCTAAGAGGCAGCTCCTCCCATCACAGGCCCCAAGGCCTAGGAGGGAAGAATGGTTTCATGGGCCAGGAGTGACCTGTGCAGCCTCAGGACATGGCTCCCTGCATCCTGGCTGCTCCAACTCCAGCTGTGACTTAAAAGGGCCCAGGTACAGCTCACACTGAAGCTCCAAAGGTTGCAAGCCAAAAGTCTTGGTGGCTTCCACATGGTGTTAAGTCTGCAGGTACACAGAGTATAAATCAGGCTTGAGAGCTTCCACCTAAATTTCAGAGGATATATGGAAAAGTTGAGGTGTCCAGGCAGAAGCATGCCACAGGGGCTAAGCCTTGACAGAGAACCTCTTTTTGCAGGGCAAAAAGGAAATGTGGGGTTGGAACCCTCACACGGAGTCCATACTAGGGCACCGACTAGTGGAGTTATAAGAAGAGGGCCACCATCTTCCAGATCCCAGAATGGTAGATCCACTGGCAGCTTACATCATCAGTATAGAAAAGCCACAGGCACTCAACAGCCTGTGAGAACAGCCTCTAAGCCTGAACCCTGCAAAGCCATAGGGGAAGAACTGCCCAAGGCCTTGGGAGCCCACCCTTAAATTGGTGTGCCCAGGACATGGGACATGGAGTTAAAGATTATTCTGGAGCTTTAAGATTTAATTACTGCCCTACTGCATTTTGATTTTGCATAGGACCTGTAGCCTCGTTCTTTTAGCCAATTTCTCCCTTTTGGAACAGGACTGTCTATCCAATGCTTGTACCCCCATTGTATCTTGGAATTAACTAACTTGTTTTTTATTTTACAGGCTCGTTGGTGGAAAGGACTTGCCTTGTCTCAGATGAGACTTCAGACTTTGGAGTTTTTAGTTCATGCTGGAATCAGTTGAGACTTTGGGGGACTGTTAGGAAGGCATGATTGTATTTTGAAATGTGAGACAGCCATGAGATTTGAGGCCAGGGGCAGAATGATATCGTTTGGATGTGTGTCACAACCCAAATCTCATTCTGAAATGTAATCCCCAATATTGGAAGTGGGGACTGGTGGGAGGTGACTAGATCATGGGGGCAGATTCTCATGAATGGTTAAGCACCATCCCCTTTGTTTCCATCTGCATGAAAGTGAGTTCTCATGAGATCTGGACATTTAAATGTGTGTAGCATCTCCCTCCTCACTCTCTTGCTCCTGCTTTCACCATGTGATGTGCCTGCTCCCATTCTGCCTTCAGAAATGATTGGAAGCTTCCTGAGGCCTGCCCCAAGGCAGATGCCATTATGTTTCCTGTACAGCCTGCAGAACTGTGAGCCAATTAAACCTCTTTTCATATAAATTACCCAGACTCTGGTTTTCCTTATAGAAATACAAGAATGGACTAACACAGATATACACCCAGTGGTGGGATGGCTGGGTCATATAACTCTATTTTTAATTTGAGAAACCTCTGGATATTCTCCATAATGTCTGTACTAATTTACATTCCCACAAATAGTGAATAAGGGTTCCCTTATATCCATCTTCTCACCAACCCTTGTTGTATTTTGTCTCTTTGATTATGGCCATTCTAACACCGTGAGGTGGTATCTCATATTGTTTTAATTTGCATTTTTCTGATGATTAGTGATGCTGAGCATTTTTTCATATGGACACTTTTTTTTTTTTTTTTTTGAGGCAGAGTTTCATTCTCTCCCCAAGGCTGGAGTGCAGTGGCGCAATCTTGGCTCACTAAAACCTCTGCCTCCCAGATTTAAGCGATTCTCCTGCCTCAACCTCCTGAGTAGCTGGGATTACAGGTGCACATCACCATGCCTGCCTAATTTTTGTAATTTTTTAGTAGATAATTGGGTCTCATAATGTTGGTCAGGCTGGTCTCAAACTCCTGACCTTGTGATCTGCCCACCTCGGCCTCCCAAAGTGCCGGGATTACAAGCGTGAGCCACCTCGCCCAGCCTTATATGGGCACATTTTTAAGGGACTTGGTTGCAGGCGGTGGGGAGAGGGTAGGGGGGTGTGGTTCTTTCCAACAATGTAAACATCCAGTCCCTCATCAAACTTTCTATTTTTTTCACTTACTAATTTATATCAGTTTGGAATTATGATTTTCCTTGTTATTTAATGGGTTTTAATCTATAACTAGCACTATTTATTTTGACGCTCAAACCATGTCAGATTTGGTCAGTGGACGTCCCTTCAATCGGGTTTCCATGTCCGTTGAACACGTCACTACCATTCTTTGAGCACTTCCTTACTTTTCTAGCACAGGTTGTTCTAAGTTCATTCTGAACCTTCCCTTCCCGAGCTCTGGAATCTGCCATCTCTCCATGGAGTCATGCTCCTTTCAATGAAGCATGGTATTAAGGAACCAAAGGCTGACTGCCTAATGTTAATGTGCTTGCCAAGTATAATGTCCTCAGTCCAAGCTTTTCAAATTCATCTGCCAAAGACTCATTGCCAGAATAGAAGAGTGGAAGGAAATTCTTAATATTTTTAAAAAGTTACTATTATTTGCATTTCTCTCTTTGTAAAAAAATTCATTTAGGCTGGGCGCAGTGGCTCACGCCTATAATCCCAGCACTTTGGGAGGCTGAGGTGGGTGGATCACGAGGTCAAGAGATCGAGACCATCCTGGTCAACAAGGTGAAACCCCGTCTCTACTAAAAATACAAAAATTAGCTGGGCATGGTGGTGCACGCCTGTAGTCCCAGCTACTTGGGAGGCTGAGGCAGGAGAATTGCTTGAACCCAGGAGGGGGAAGTTGCCATGAGCCGAGATGGTGCCATTGCACTCCAGTCTGGGTAACAGTGAAACTCCGTTTCAAAAAAAAAAAAAATTCATTTAAATCAATATAAAAAGACAAAATTCTTTGGCACATAAATTGCAACTCTCCGGTCCAAATCTTTAAATAAAGTTGATGCTCTAAGAATATATAACATATGCTCTTTATTCCACAGACATATAGGCCTATGGTTGCACACTTTTATACACACACAGAGTCACGATTCCACTAGCACCTGTGACGTTCCACATCCAGATTTCCCAAGTCTCACACGTTCACATCTTCACATAGCCTTGCCTGCACCCAGTCACACGGCATAGTACCACATTGTCACGTCAATCACAGCCACCATCTACCACAGAGCCTGTCATCCCGTTGACCAAAGTCACAAAAATCACACCCCCAGGTATTTTCTGTGGTTTTCTCCAGTCAGGTGCCTTTACTCACTACACACCGACTCGCACTCAAACTACACACACGCGGAAACACAACCCGCCACAGCCAGAGAGGCTCCGTCGGTCCCGCAACCCTCACAGTACCACATACACGCGCTCACACGGTCAAGCACAAATGGCCAGGCAACCATTCTTTATAACACACATATTGAGCGCCTACGATGTACTACGCCGGGACTACCTCAAGGGGTGAATCAGACAAAATCCTGCCTGGCGGAGGTATCGCCCAGTCCTGCACGCACTCGGCCTCAGGGTCGCAAGGATGCACTAGTCGGTCCCACACTCAAGTGGCCTCGCGAGGCCCAGAGGCGTCTGTTCTCCTCCTCAGCTTCCCGCGTGGGTTCCCGGGACGTGGGTCGAAGCCATCGGATGCGCGCGCGTCCGCGCCTGCGCACAAGAGAACCTGTGGACTGCATTTCCCAGAAACCCCTTGGGTAGTGTTGCCTGGACCCCGAAGGCAGTTTCCGTTGCTTTACTAACGGTTCAGCCGCCTGGGTGCGTTCTTCACAGACAAGAAGTCGGAGCTAGGTGAGGAGGAACGGGACTCCTAGGAGTAGGATTGGGGATGAAACTGCCGCCCAAAATGAGGCGCTCTAGGGCCCAGACCTGACGTGCCGTGCCCGGAGCAAGCCTCAGGCCTGTGTGAGCGTGGGGAGCGGAGAAGGGGGATTGTGTGACAAAGTGTCTGTATGTGTGCCGCGCGCGCGACGGAGTGCCTGTCAGGACCGGGTTGGGCAGGTGTGGGTGCGGATGTGAGGCTGAGACAGGTGCCTGGCTTTCTGGTGTGTGTCACTGACCCTCTGCCCGCCTCACGGCCCCGGGTGTCTGCACAGCGCAGTGTCCCCAAGGGGGAAGTCACATACTGAGCTCTGGGGTGAAGGTTCTCAGCAAGAAGGTACAGACCTGGGTTGGCAATTGGACTTTTGAGTTAGAAGTGTCCCTGGGAGACAGGATGGAAGGGTGTCCATTGAAGGCGCTGTGTGGACAGCTGCTTTTTTCAGAACCACCGCATTCGCATACCCTGCTGTGAGTTCAGAGACAGATTCCAGCTTCACTCACACAGCTGTCAGGTGCGTCAGGGCGGCGCAGATGTGGCGCTAGAGGGAGATATTCTGGGTCGGTCTGTGATCTAAAAAAGGGCTGCTGTCTCATGATTTTTTTCTTCCCCCCGTCCTGCCATTCACCAAAAGAATGATCCTGAAAAGAAGGGAGCAATTGTTGTAGCAGGTCTAAAAGTTCAGATCCAGGTAAGTTCATGTTTCCTCTTTGTTCATAAAATGCAAATCACACGTTCCAAATCACACATTCTCATCTTCACACAGCCTTGCCTGCACCCGGTCACACAGCATGGTACGACAGTATGTCAAACACAGCCACAATCTACCCTAGAGCCTGTCTCCTCATTGCTCATAGTCACAGAAATCACATCCCTTGGTACTTTCTGTGGCTTTCATTTGCATTTGTCCCTTTGAAAAAATTCATTGATTCAATATAAAAAAGGCACATAAATTGCAACTCTCTGGTCAAAATCTTTATTTTATTTATTTATTTATTTTGAGGGAGAGTTTCGCTCTTGTTACCCAGGCTGGAGTGCAATGGCGCGATCTCGGCTCACCACAACCTCCGCCTCCTGGGTTCAAGCAATTCTCCTGCCTCAGCCTCCCAAGTAGCTGGGACTACAGGCACGCGCCACCATGCCCAGCTAATTTTTTGTATTTTTAGTAGAGACGTGGTTTCACCATGTTGACCAGGATGGTCTCGATTTCTTGACCTCGTGATCCACCCGCCTCGGCCTCCCAAAGTGCTGGGATTACAGGCATGAGCCACCACGCCCGGCTCTGGTCCAAATCTTTAAATAAATATTTAAATAAACACATAAGATGTTTTTGTTTTTAGGACATGGAAACCTTGCTTTACTTTTCCTTTTTTCTTTTGAGATGGAGTCTTGCTCTGTCACCCAGGCTGGAGTGCGGTGACGCGATCTGCCAACCTCCGCCTACTGGATTCAAGCAATTCTCTTGCCTCAGCCTCCTGAGTAGCTGGGACTACAGGCATGCGCCACCACACCCAGCTAATTGTTTTGTGTGTTTTTAGTAGAGACAAAGTTTTGCCATGTTGGCTAGGATAGTCTCTATCTCTTGACCTTGTGATCCACCCGCCTCAGCCTCCCAAGGTGTTGGCATTACAGACGTGAGCCACCATGCCCGGCCTGCTCTGCTTTTCCCGAATTGTCCAGTGACCTATCCCAGACCTTCCTTTCCAGTGAACAATGGACCATGCAGGTGGATTCTACACGGGCCTCTGAATGAACTTCTTGTTTTTCACATCATTCCTCTACACTCACTTTCCATAATGGTAGATAAATGCATATGTTGGAGTCTAAAGTTTAAACTTTGTTTTATTGAGATTAATGTTTAGGTAGGATCATATCATTCATCTTCTCCAATCTTCTCCAAAGACCTCGGTTTTAAAGTATGACAGGAATAGAGATGACCTGACTGGTATCCATAAGCAAGTGATAATGGTCATCTGTTTTTAATGCTTTTAGGAGTGGGAATGTGATTGGAAGTCCAAGCATAGAAATCTGTGTGAACATGAACAGGGATTTTTTCCAAGAAATCCATGAGTTGAGATTTATGTTTATACAGAGTTAGTTGTAAGAATAAAAAGTACATCTGAGGAAAAAAAAGTACACATGAGAAAGTAATAGTCATAGTGATGAAGAATAATAGGCAACTTTTTTTTCCCCCAAGACGGAGTCTTGCTCTGTCGCCCAGACTGGAGTGCAATGGCGTGAACTCGGCTCACTGCAGCCTCTGCCTCCTGGGTCCAAATGATTCTACTGCCTCAGCCTCCCAAGTAGCAGGGATTACAGGCACCCACCACCATGCCTGGCTAATTTTTGTATTTTTAGTAGAGACAGGGTTTCACTATATTGGTCAGGCTGGTCTCGAACTCCTGACCTCTGGTGATCCACTTGCCTTGACCTTCCAAAGTCTTGGGATTACAGGCGTGAGCCACCACATCCAACTGCAAGTTTTAAATTTTATATGAATCTCACTAATTTAGGATTTAAAGACATTTAACAAGGGATTATATGTGAATTGACATTTGAATTGATTATTTGCTGGAGAAGTGGAGGAGAACCAAACACTCTTTTGTCTGCTTTGCACAAATTTTCTTCTTCAGGCTACAGGTGCCATTCACCTGGCTTGTGTATTCAAAGAAAAATCTTAATAGTGAAAAGGTCTTGTTGAATTGAAGAAGAATGTTCAAGAACTGGTAGGCATTTATTTATAATGGTCACACTGTTTTCTTTCTGTTTCCATACATGTCAAGCCAATTTGGTTCTGATATATTAAAATATTTTATTTTATAATTGGACATAGATTTATTGTATACTTCTGATTATAGAATTAATGCTCAGTTTTTATAAATTATTCAATTACTCAGTTATATTACATAAGGGACTTAGAAAGAAGAAAGTTAAAATAGCTCCAGCATCACTATTATTACTTTGGGAAACTATATTTTAGCAAGATTTTTCAGTACACTTGTGTGTGTGTGTGTGTCATGTGTGTGCGTGCACGTGCACACACCTGCACATGCATTTTTCTTCCTGCAGAATAGAAATTGCACTAACTGATCTTCCAAAGGACACAAAGACTCTCCCCTTCCTAGTTAGAAAAAGTGATTCTCCCTAACCATAGCTTTTTTTTTTTTTTTTGAGATGAAGTTTTGCTCTTTCATCCAGGCTGGAGTGCAGTGGTGCGATCTTGGCTCACTGCAGCCCGCACCTTCTGGTTCAAGCGATTCTCCTGCCTCAGCCTCCCGAGTTGCTGGGATTATAGGCACATGCTACCACACCTGGCTGATTTTTGTATTTTTAGTAAAGATGGGGTTTCACCATGTTGGCCAGGCTGGTCTTGAATTCTGACTTTGTGGTCTGCCTGCCTCGGCCTCCTAAAGTGCTGGATTACAGGCATCAGCCACCTCGCCTGGCCATCTTTCTTATATCTCTGTGCAGTAGGGAGAAGTGGGAAACACCAATTAACCCTGCTAAGTTTGATTAACCTTTGAGATATTTACAACTTTTAGGGTTATATAAATCAATTAAGGATAATTAATATTATACAATTTATCAAACAAGACAATTCCTCAGGATTATACTTTTTTTTAGATTTTTAAGGTTGCTTTTACAGGACATAGCAACACTCTTATCTTGGCTAGGTTTTTTTCAGTATTCCATTATGCAAATAACATTTTATAGGACAGATTTATAACAGTAAAAAACAGAATAAGATAGTAACAGCTATAAATATTCATATAAATGTTTACATATAGAAGAGGAGAACAAGATTGAACCTCATATTAAAGTTATCTATGTAATGCCTTTTTACAGCAGTCCCCAACGTTTTTGGCACCAGGGACTGGTTTTATAGAGGACAGTTTTTTCACAGATAGGGAGAGGGAGATGGTTTCAGGATGATTCAACCACATTACGTTTATTGTGCCCTTTATTCTTATTATTACATTGTAACATATAATTAAATCATTATACAACTCACCATAATGTGGAATCAGTGGGAGTCCTGAGCTTGTTTTCCTGCAACTATATGGTCCCATATAGGGGTGATGGGAGACAATGACAGATCATCAGGCATTAGATTCTCATAAGGAGAATGCAACCTAGATCCCCCACATGTTCAGTTCATAATGCTGCAGCTGATCTGACAGGAAGCAGAGATCAAGATTCCCTCACATGTTCAGTTCATAATGCTGCAGCTGATCTGACAGGAGGCAGAGATCAAGTGGTTAATGTGAGCAATGGGGAGTAGCAGTAAATACAGATGAAGCTTCCCTTGCTGGCCTGCTGCTCACCTTCTGCTGTGTAACCCAGTTCCTAACAGGCTAGGGTCCAGTATCAGTCAGTGACCCAGGGGGTTGGAGACCCCTACCTTAATTAGATCCTTTTAGCTAGTTTTATGTTGAAGAATGATGTCTCCTCTTTGGTAGTTGTAAGAACGAGAGGAGATTTTTCTGTTTTGTTTTGTTTTTGAGACAGAGTCTCACTCTATTGCCCAGGCTGGAGTGCAGTGGTACAATCTCAGCCCGCTGCAACCTCTGCCTCCTGGGTTCAAGCGATTGTCCTGCCTCCCCAGTAGCAGGGATCACAGGTGCATGTCACCACCCCTGGCTAATTTTTGTGTTTTTAGTAGAGACGGTGTTTTACCATGTTGGCCAGGCTGGTCTCAAACTTCTGACCTCAGGTGATCCACCCATCTCAGCCTCCTAAAGGCCTGGTATTACAGGCGTGAGTCACCACACCAAGCCAAGAGATTTATTGATTATTTTTCTTGGAGTCTGTTTTACTAATGTTGTTAACTTAAAATAATTGCATCTTCATGGCTCAGCTCTAAAATACTTGAAATATCATTATTAAAAAATGGGCATGAGACTCAAACTTTACTTGAAATAAGTGAAATAATATAAAATGATTTTATTTAATAGCAATGGAATAAAGGACATAATGTCCTCTATTTTAATAATACTGGCTAATTGTTATTAAGTAATTATGTATTATTAAGTGGGATATATGTATTATCTCAATCTTCATGACAACCCTATGAGATAGGTGCTGTTCTTGTCCCTAATTTACCAACACACTAACTGAAACGTATGTAGCTGTCAGACTAAGATTCACATTCTGAAAATCTGACAACAGAGTCTGGGTTTTTAATGACAATATTATAACCCTCCCCATAATGGCACATGCTCCTTTAATTTGCCAGTATCAATCAGTAACTCATCATTGATGTCTTTCTCCAAAAATAAATAGGGACCAATATAATTAGTAAGGCCTTGGTGTGCCATCATAACAGATCATAGTTTATTTAATCTGTTGACTACTGTAGCTATTAATATTTTTAATATTTGATTATTTTAATCTGTTATATGATTAATATGTATATGTCTTAATATGCTTTAATAGCCACTTCCAAGAAAAAATACCTAAAAATGGAATTTTAGTCAAATATCAGACATAAGGACTCATAGTAGACTGAATCTTGTGTTAGTAATTAGAGAAGTACAAGAACTGAAAACACATAGGTGCTACCCTACAGCAGAGAGTATGAAATCAGAATAGACTGAATAAGTATAAGGTAGAAGATAACAAAAAACAGTAAAAAAATTCAGGTTACAGGCCTTAGGAGTTCATAGGAAGGAGACGTTCAGTGCTGTCCAATAGAACTTTCCATGTTGATGAATATGTTCTGTGTTCTCCAGTATGGTAGCTGTTTGCCACGTGTAGCTAATGAGCACCTGAAATATGGCTAAGTTGACTGAGAAACTGAACTTTTGTGTGTGTGTGTGTGACAGAGTTCACCAAGGCTGGAGTGCAGTGGCGAGATCTCAGCTCACTGCAGCCTCTGCCTCCCAGGTTTGAGCGATTCTGCCTCAGCTTCCTGAGTAGCTGGGACCATAGGCCCCTGCCACCATGCCCAGCAAATTTTTGCATTTTTAGCAGCCTGTAGCCCAGGCTGGAGTGCAGTGGTGCGATCTCAGCTCACTGCAACCTCTGCCTCCCAGGATCAAGCAATTCTCCTGCCTTAGCCTCCTAAGTAGCTGGGATTACAGGCATGTACCATCATGCCCGGCTAATTTTTTTGTATTTTTAGTAAAGACAGGGATTCACCATGTTATCCAGGCTGGTTTCAAACTCCTAACCTCAAATGATCTGCCCGCCTAGGCCTCCCAAAGTGCTAGGATTACAGGTGTGAGCCACCGCTCCTGGCCTAACCTGCATATATCGTAATACAAATTTACAGTCATTTGGTTTGCTTAGGGCCCCAGAAGTAGGCTCTACTTCTGGGTTGGATGGTAAAAGTCCCTCACATCCTTCTACCTACCATGTTTTAAGGTCCTACAAATCTTTAGCATTTACACAGTATATATTTCCCTGTGATGTTGCTCATCTGGCATATCATTAGTCTTTTAAATCTGCCATTCTAATAACTGTCAACTGGTACTTCCTTGATTAGGATCTCAATTGTATTGAAATTTGATAACTTCTGTGGATGATATGTTGCTATTTTTAGTGAATTACCCATGCTTAAATTTCATTTGAAAAAATTCTGGGCTTCAGAGGAAAAGCTAGAGTTGAGAGAGCAAGACCCTGTCTCCAGAAAAAAAAAAGAGAGAGAGAGAGAATTGGCTTTATATTTAGAGAAACATGGATTCAAACTACAGCTCCGCATCTTTCTGTGAATTTGGGCAAGGTACTTTACTTTGAGCCTTCATTACCTCTTCTGTTGAAAGGAGATAAATGTGGCCAGGTGCAGTGGCTTACACCTATAATCCCAGCACTTTGGGAGGCCGAGGCGGGTGGATCACTAGGTCAAGAGATCGAGACCATCCTGGTCAACATGGTGAAACCCCGTCTCTACTAAAAATACAAAACTTAGCTGGGCATGGTGGTGCGTGCCTGTAGTCCCAGCTACTCGGGAGGCTGAGGTAGGAGAATCGCTTGAACCTAGGAGGCGGAGGTTGCGGTGAGCCAAGATCACACCATTGCACTCCAGCCTGGGTAATAAGAGCGAAACTCTGTCTCAAAAAAAACAAAAAAAAAAAAAAAGGAGATAAATGCATTGCATGGTTCAATGTTAATATGATAAAGGACCCATCATGCAGAAGATCCTAAAAATAGCTATTTTTGTTGTTGTCACCTGGCAGCCGTGAGCATGAATTCACACTACTCCAGCCTTGATATTTAGATATTGGGGTGGTCAGTGACTTCATGCAGGAAAGCAGTATAGCTGTTCCTGGTTGGAAAATCAGTTAGGAAATTGGTTGGGAACAGAGGATTCTGGGGGCTGTGGTTCTAGCTGGGAAGGGCTCCACTGGGCAAGTGTAGTTTTGCAGTGTGAAGGGCTGCCCACTGTTTTCTGCCTTCCTGTCTGTGGAGTCCAGGAATATAGCCAAGCCGTGAATGATATTTGGATTTGGATGGGTGGCCCCTTCTCAGCCCTAAGGTGGGCATGGATGGAAGAGGATCTGCTCAAGGCAGGACCTAACAATTCAGTTTCAGCTACTCATCAGCAGCATCAGAAGTTGAAGTAAGCCAGAGACCCTTCTGCTGGAGCTCCTGATCTGGCTCTGTGCAGGAGGCCTCTACTCTGTATCTACACTTGCACAAGTGGTTTCTCATAGCATAGGGAGGGTTTGGCTTTCTTCTCCTGTTTATATGTGCAGAATGGTGGGATTGGAAGTAGAAATTATGCAAAAACAGGATCTTATTAACTTCAGTCATTTTAGGACTTCAGAGACACATCTGGCCTCAGAGTCACTTGTTCTTCCCCTAGCCCCAGCTTCTCTGGATTCTGTGCTTCTCCGTGGAGGAAGCCCAAGGAGAACTGACAAGTTCTTGTGGTGCTAAAACCATGGCCCATGTAAGTTTATGTTTTTCTTCCTTGAAATATTGTGTTTTTAAATTCATTGATCATTGAAGTCTAGTTATTTTGAGACATCCTTCCTAAGACAACCCTGTTGTGGAATCTGCTCTCTAGTTACTCTGATCACAGTGAAGGATAGTGCCACGTAGTCTAGTGTCTTTCTCATTTTCTCCTATCTTTTCTTAGCAATGCTCACCTATTGCCCATTTATCTATGTGCCCAGTCTTCTCTCAGGAACATTGGTGGAGCAGTGAAATATGAAGTCCCTCAAGGAAATATTTGAGTTTCTCTCAAGTCATTGTCCTTTTTTTTTTTTTTTGAAACAGAGCCTCACTCTGTTATCCAGGCTGGAGTGTAGTGGTACCATCTCAGCTTACTGCAACCTCCGCCTCCCAGGTTTAAGTGATTCTCCTGCCTCAGTCTCCTGAGTAGCTGGGATTACAGGTGTCCACCTGTAGCCCACCATGCCTGGCTAATTTTTGTATTTTTAGTATAGACAGGGTGTCACTATGTTGGCCAGGCTGGTCTCAAACTCCTGATCTCACATTATCTGCCCTCCTCAGCCTCCCAAAGTGCTGGGATTACAGGTGTGAGCCACCATGCCAGCCAGGAGTCATGGTTGTATGGCACACAGGTAGTGGTTCCATTAGAGTGCCCAGACCTGAATTTTGTGGGTTGATGGATGGGATTTAGTGTTCAGTGTTTTGTCTTCTGCAGTGACTCAAACATTGTCTTCCATGTCAGCCTCAGAGGCAGAGGTGAGATCTCAGGCATTAAGCAGCTGAGAGGACTAGGTTGGAGTATAATTGGGGCCTGCATATTGTATTTTCAGGGATCTAACCAGGGGAATCTCCAAGGATGAATAAGAAAACAAAAGTCAATTTTGTGGTTGAGGCGGTTATACTGGTCTCCAGTGACATCAGTGTCATTGTGGATCCGTCAGCATCCTCTGGCTTAGGAACGAAGTAAGTGTTCCTGAAGTATGGCCGGAGTGGCAGGTAGGAAGATCCTCCAATCCCTATTGATGGCTGGACATAGGCTCTGATCCTCAACGATGGTGGAAATAGGATTGGGAAAAACCTTAAACACTTTGGCCACCCTAAATAAATGCCTAAGAATAAAAGAAGAATTAGTCTGCAGAATCCGCAAGTTGGATGATATTATTAGCCAGCCAATAAATATACTAACTGAAGACTTTGCTTTGAGGTTATTTTGCATCATGATGAACCTGAGTTCCAGTGAAATTACATAATGTCAGTCAACTCCTGTTTTCTAAGAGAGATTTTAGAGCACTTTTTGGTAAAAGAATTCTTTTTTTTTTTTTGAGACAGAGTTTTACTGTTCTTACCCAGACTGGAGTGCAATGGCACGATTTTGGCTCACGGCAACCTCCGCCTTTTGGGTTCAAGCAATTCTGCCTCAGCCTCCCGATTAGCTGGGACTACAGGCACGCACCACCATGCCCAGCTAATTTTTGTATTTTTAGTAGAGATGGGGTTGACCAGGATGGTCTTGATCTCTTGACCTCGTGATCCACCCGCCTCGGTCTCCCAAAGTGCTGGGATTATAGGCGTGAGCCACCGCGCCCGGCCTGGTAAAAGAATTCTTTATTGAAAAATTTTTTGAAGGGAAGAGAGGATTATGGAACTTGCATTATTCAGAACTTAAAATGCAGCCACGTAGTGGGCAGTGTGCTTATTTATGCTATTTCACTTAATTTGCATCAACAGTAGTCTTTAAAAGCATATAAACACTTTATTTCAGAAATATGAATTTCCTTATTCTTTTATCCATGTTGCAGGCTTGAGCCCCAGTGTATTTGCTTACTATGCTGCTTCTTTCCTGCAAAACAGTTTTCCACCTTGAAAATACATTTAAAAATTTTTTAATATGTCATTTCAGGTATCCTTGGCATTCAGGGATGTGTCCATAGACCTCTCCCAAGAGGAGTGGGAGTGCCTGGACCCTGCGCAGAGGGACTTGTACAAGGATGTGATGTTCGAGAACTACAGCAACCTGGTCTCACTGGGTAAGGTATCTGCTGAAATAGTTTACAACCTGTTTTCTGGAGTATCCACTTTCTCCACTGTCAAATTTTAGAACTCTGTTTTAAGAGGCCAACTGACTCCCCCTATTTCTAAAGACATAGTTTGAGCAGTGTTGAGGGGGAAATGGGCACCTGTGTTAAGCATCTTCATCTTTCCATCCCTCAGTGGCATTCACTCCTCCCTCTGACTCTTCCTGTTATTGCTTGCTTTTCTAAATGATTTCCAGAGAGACCAGATTTCATATAACGCATAAACTCAGAATTCCTATAGTTGCTCTGTGTTAATATCTGGCCCTCCTACAAGACAACAGCTACTCTCAGAATTCTCTCTTTTTTTTTTTTTTTTTTTTTAACTATCAAAAGAAGCTCCGTGGATTATATAATGGTGGATTGAGTTAACAATAGTCATGTAAAATTCAAGCCAATACACCCCATCCTAGAGGAGACATACTCCCCTTAACCTGCTGTGTGGTTGAAAGTTAAAGGCTGTGAATTTACATTTTCTGTTGAAGGAATATCTGAGGAAGAACCTGGAAATGTTTTGGGAAACTTAGTATATTTCTCCTAGGAAAATAGTAACAACAACAAAATAATACTATATACTAGGCATGTTTTTATGCATTTGCATATATTAATTCATTTAACTCTCACAACAGCCTATGAAGTTGGTAATACCAGCCCCATTTTGCATTTGATCAAAGTGAACACACAGAGGGTAAGTAACTTTCAAGGTCACACAGCTGGTAGGTGGCCATAGGGTTCCAGAGGTTAATGCTCACAACCCCTCTGTATACTGCCTTTAGCAGCAAAGCAGACCTTTCCCCTCTCTTTCCTTGTCTCTTTAGTCCTGTAACTGTGAGTACATGTTAACATGAATGTTCCTAGCCTTTTTCTTCTTTGCTGTGATATCAAGTACCATTTTCACCTGCAGTTTACTACAAATGTGACCAAGTCTGAATTGTCAATTCAAGGTTATGGTTGTTTGGGGTTTGTTTTTATTTTTTTCTACAACATGTGTCATTTTTTTTGTCATGAGCAGGATATACCATTCCTAAGCCAGATGTGATTACTTTATTGGAGCAAGAGAAAGAGCCCTGGATAGTAATGAGGGAAGGGACAAGGAGTTGGTGCACAGGTGAGTGACAGCAAATCAGGCAGGAGGGTGCTATCACAAGTTATGACCCATGAGGTCAGGGAGGAGGCACAGCACTGAGCTGTTTGGACAGCATTCTTCCAAGGCCCGAGGGATGTGGAGAAAGGACTGATACCTGGGAAGCATTCAGATTCTCTCAACATGAACTACTAAAGGAACTTTAGCCAGTTTGCTAAACTTCTTGTTTCTCTTCTCTCATGTTTCTCTCCCTTTTCAAAGTGGGGCTGCTTGCTTTCTTCCCCATTGATGATCATTTTACCTGTGTTTCAGGTCTCCTTTTACATTTAGATTTATATTCATTTCTCCATTGTCCAAATTTTATTCAACAAATATTTTCCATTTACCTAACCTAAGCCAGGCACTGTGCTAGAGTCTAGGCACTACTGATAGACACTCCTGTTGTCATGGAGTTACTGATATTCTAGTAAGGGAAACATATTGTAAATAAGTAAACAGATAATAATCAGGTTTTGATATGTGTTGTGAAGAAAATGAAGTAGAATAAGGAGATAAGTGTTAGGGAGTTAGTAGGGCTAATTTAGAGAAGATCAGGAAACACCATTTTAAGGTGATGATCTTTGAACTAGAGACATAAAATAAGGTCTCAGGCCATGTGAATATTGAGGAACAGCATTACAAGCAGAAAAAGCTGCAAATGCAAAGGTTCTAAGATAAATCAGCATCTATGTTTATTCCCAAAACAGATTATGCCAGCTGATGTGAACATTCTTGTACAATTGTTTTGTGTTCAGGTGTTTTCATTTCTCTTAGTTTTCATTTTTCTTGGGAATATATGGAAGTGGAATTTTTGGGTTATAGGACAAGTGTATTAATCATATATATTGAGGTAGAATTTATATAATACAAAATGCACTCATTTTAAGTGTCAATTTTTATAACATTTTAAAACAATTTCATTGACATATAATTGGCATACAATAAATTGCACACATTTAAAGTATAAAATTTGCTAAGTTGCCATGTATATTGTGAAACCATTACACAATCAAAATAAAAAACATATCCATCACCTCAGAAAGAAATCCCTCCCTCATGTCCTTCTCTACCCATTGCCCAAGTAAGCACTGATCATCTGTCTGTCACTATAACTTAGTTTTCATTTTCTAGAATTTTGTATAATGGAATTATATGGTGATTTTTTTCTTTCTTTTTAAAAATATGGTGATTTTTTTTCAATTTAGCTTCATTCACTCACCAAAATTATTTTGAGATTCATCCATGTTGCTCTATGTATTAGTAGTTCATTTCATTGTTGAGTAGTATTCCACTGTATAAATGTACCACAATTTACTTATCCATTTACCTATAGGGATAGACATTGAATTATTTCCAGTGTTTGGCTATTAGAGATAAAACTACTGGAAACATTCATATAAAGTTCTTTGTACAGACATATGCTTTTATTTATCTTGGGTAAATATCTGGGGTAGAATGGGTAGATCATATGAAAGATATATGTTTATTTTTTTAAGACACTGCCACACTGTTTTTGAAAGTGGTTATATCAGCCAAGAGCAGTGGCTCATGCCTGTAATCTCAGCACATTGGGAGGCCAAGGCAGGTAGATCACTTGAGGTCAGGAGTTCAAGACAAGCGTGGCCAACAGGGTGAAACTTCATCTTTACTAAAAATACAAAAATTAGCGAGACATAGTGTCAGGTATCTGTAATCCCAGCTACTTGGGAGGCTGAGGCAGGAGAATCACTTGAACCCTGGATGCAGAATTTGCAGTGAGCCAAGATTGTGCCACTGCATTCCAGCAGCCTGGGTGACAGAGCAAGACTCTGTCTGAAGAAAAAAAGAAAGAAAAAGAAAGAAAGAAAGTGGTTGTATCCTTTTACTTTCACAGCAGAAGTTTATGAAATTCCAGTTCTTACACATTCTTGTCATCACAATAGGTGAGTAGTGGTATCACATTGTGGTTTTAATTTTCATTTTCCTAATGCCTAATAATCCTGAGCAACTTTTTATTCTTATCATCTCTATATCTTCTTTGCTGAAGTGTCCGTTAGTCGTCTGCCTGTTTTCTTTTTTCATTTTTTTTTTGAGATGGAGTCTTGCTCTGTTGCCCAGGCTAGAGTGCAGTGGTGTAACTTCAGCTTACTGTAACCTCAGCCTCCTGAGTACAAGCGATTCTCTCACCTTAGCCTCCTGAGTAGCTGGGACCACAGGCATGTGCCACCATACCTGGCTAATTTTTGTATTTTTGATAGAGACAGGGTTTCACCACATTGGCTAGGCTAGTCTCAAACTCCTGACCTCAGATCCACCAGCCTCAGCCACTCAAAGTGCTGGGATTACAGGCATGAGCCACTGCACCCAGCCTTCTACCTATTTTCTAATTGAGTTGTTTGTTTGCTAATTATTAGGTTTTGATAGTCCCTTATGTATTCTGGATGTAAGTCCTTTATCAAATGTATGATTTGTAAATATCTTCTCCCATTATTGGCTTGTATTTTCATTCCCTTAACAGTGTCTTCTGAATAGCATAAGCTCTTAATTTGATTAAGTTCAGTGTATCACGTTTTTCTCTTATGGACTGTCCTTTCAGATCATATTTAAGAAATCTTTGCCAAATACAAAAAGTACCAAGTTTTGTTTTCTTCTAGAAATTTTTTTTTGGGGATGGAGTCTCGCTGTGTCACCCGGGCTGGAGAGCACTGATGCAATCTCGGCTCACTGCAACCTCCACCTGCTGGGTTCAAATGATTCTTCTGCCTCAGCCTCCCGAGTACCTGGAACTACAGGTGTGTACCACCATACCCAGCTAATTTTTGTATTTTTAGTAGAGATGGGGTTTCACCATATTGGCCAGGCTGGTCTCAAACTCCTGAACCTCATGGTCCACCCACCTTGGCTTCCCAAAGTGCTGGGATTACAGGCATGAGCCACTATGCCCAGCCTTTCTAGAAATTTTAATTTTAGATTTTTACATTTGTGTATTTACTGTACAAACTCTTCCAGAAACTTTAAGATAAGGGAATACTTTCAAACTCACTCTTCAAGTCCAGCATTACCCTGACACAGAAATCAGACAAAGGCATTATAAGAAAAGGAATCTGTAAGTCAATTGTTTTTTACAAAAACAAATGCAAAAATTCTAGACAAAGTTATAGCCATTTGAATCTAACAGTTTATGAAAAGAATAGCAGTTACTGGCCAGTCTTGGCATTCCTTGGCTTGCAGATGCATCACTTTAGTCTCTGCTTCCATCTTCATGGCACCTTCTCTTGATCTCCCTATGCCTTGCTCTTTTAAGTAGACCCGTTAGTGGATTTAGGGCCCACGCTTTTTCCAAATTAGGTCCCATTCATAGGCACTGGGAGTTAGGAACATGTCTTTTCTGGGGACCACAATTCAACTTACTACATCTGAGAATAAAGGCTTTTATTTTTCTTCTTTCTGAAGCTTGTGTTCTTCTCCTTGCCTTACTCTACTAGCCAGGACCTGCAGTGTACTTATTGACTAGCAGTGAGTTTAAGCATCTGTGAATGAGCAATGATAAAACACAACTGATGTTCACCAAATAAAATCTCTCAGTATTTGAGTTGGGATAGAGACAAAGAAAAGGAACAGTGGCCACACACAGGGCAACCGTAAACAGTTTTGGAGATACCTAATGTTCAAGGTAACAATAGATAATGGGAAAATGATGAAATACAAAAATGACTTTTTCATTTATACTTTTGACTGAGCAATCTTGGATATACCTTTCTTCCCTTTCATAAGGGAAGTGATCTAGGAAAGAGCATCTTTAATTGCTATACTAGGATGAGATTGGAATCAGGGAGATATATTCATAACTATGTTGTATTTTGGGGAAATTAAGTTATTATACCTAGCTGCCTTCTCAATGAGTTGTTTGTAATATTTACAGAGGTTATTTGCAGAGGTCTTACAAATAAGAAAGGGCTTTTTATCAATGGTAATATGTTTGGATTTTATTCGAGGGGGAATGAGAAACTTTAAAGGGAAACGAATTGGGTACATATTTTCAAAATGATCTGCATCAAAGCCATTTGATGAGAAAGATTTAAAATGCACATATCCAGGACTTGCTCCTATGGATTTTGATTTTGTCTGGTTTGGTGCCTGAAGAACAGTATATGTAAGAAACCCCCCAAATTCATCCTAAATAGGAGGATCACTGATTTACCCTATTCTCCTATTCATCTATTTTACCCTTCTTAAAAGTCACATCATTTTCTAAGGTATTTTGCCTTTTAAATTTCATTACAATAATTAAGAGTTCTCTAAGCCAGGAGCCAGCAAACTATAGCCCATGGGCCACATAGCTCACTGCCTGTTTTTCCATGGCTTTTAAGTTACAACTGGCTTTTACATTTTTTAATGGTTGAAAAAAATCAAGAAAATTTTGTGTCAGGTAAACCTTTTTTGAAATTCAAATTTTAGTGTTCATAAGTCAAGTGTTGTTATAACACAGCCACACTTATTATCATCTGTGGCTACCTTTGTACTGTAATAGCAAAGCTAAGAAATTGTGACAGAGACCATATGCCTCCCAAGGCCTAACACCTTCACTGTCTGGTCTTTTACAGAAAAAGTTTGTTGACTCCTGCTCTACACCATTTATTTCTAATGTGTGTTATTTCTGTTTATCTTTTATTTCTTTATCTTTATGGTACAACCCCTATCCCTGCCCTAACACAGAAAACTAACATTATAGCATTTGTTTGCCGTTTTTTGTTTTTTTTTTACAGATTTGGAGTACAAGTATATCACTAAGAATTTACTTCCAGAAAAGAATGTTTGCAAAATATATTTATCTCAATTGCAGACAGGGGAAAAAAGTAAAAACACCATCCATGAGGACACCATGAGAAATGGTTTGCAGTACAAACATGAATTTGAGAGACAAGAGGGACATCAGATGGAATGCATTAGTCAAATGATAATCCAAAAACAAATATCTCATCCTCTGTATCCGAAAATTCATGCTAGAGAGAAACCATATGAATGTAAGGAATGTAGGAAGGCCTTTAGACAACAGTCATACCTTATTCAACATCTGAGAATTCACACTGGTGAGAGACCCTATAAATGCATGGAATGTGGAAAGGCTTTTTGTCGAGTGGGAGACCTTAGAGTACATCAGACAATCCATGCTGGGGAGAAACCCTATGAATGTAAAGAATGTGGGAAGGCCTTTAGACTTCATTACCACCTTACTGAACATCAGAGGATACATTCTGGTTTGAAACCCTATGAGTGTAAGGAATGTGGAAAGGCCTTTAGTCGGGTTAGAGATCTCAGAGTACATCAGACAATTCATGCTGGGGAGAGACCTTATGAATGTAAAGAATGTGGGAAGGCCTTTAGACTTCATTATCAGCTAACTGAACATCAGAGAATTCACACCGGTGAGAGGCCTTATGAATGTAAGGTTTGTGGGAAGACCTTTAGGGTACAACGACATATTAGTCAACATCAGAAAATTCATACTGGTGTCAAACCCTATAAATGTAATGAATGTGGGAAAGCCTTTAGTCATGGCTCATACCTTGTTCAACATCAGAAAATTCATACTGGTGATAAACCCTATGAATGTAAAGAATGTGGTAAGTCCTTTAGTTTTCATGCAGAACTTGCTCGACATCATAGAATTCATACTGGTGAGAAACCCTATGAATGTAAAGAATGTGGAAAAGCCTTTCGTCTTCAAACAGAACTTACTCGGCATCATAGAACTCATACTGGTGAAAAACCCTATGAATGTAAGGAATGTGGGAAGGCCTTTATTTGTGGCTATCGACTTACTTTACATCTGAGAACTCACACTGGTGAGATTCCTTATGAATGTAAGGAATGTAGGAAAACCTTCAGTAGTCACTATCATCTTACTCAACACTACAGAATTCATACCGGTGAGAAACCCTACATATGTAATGAATGTGGAAAAGCCTTTCGTCTTCAGGTGGAACTTACCCGACATCACAGAATTCATACATGTGAGAAACCCTATAAATGTAAGGAATGTGGGAAGGCTTTTATTCGTAGCAATCAATTTATTTCACACCAGCAAATTCACACCAGCGAGAGCACCTTTGTATGTAAAGAATGTGGGAAAATTTTTGGTCGTCGCTATAATCTTACTCAACATTATAAAATTCATACTGGTGAGAAACCCTATATATGTAATGAATGTGAGAAAGCCTTTCGATTTCAAACAGAACTTACTCAGCATCACAGAATTCATACTGGTGAAAAACCCTATAAATGTATGGAATGTGGGAAGGCCTTTATTCGTAGCACTCATCTCACGCAACATCACAGAATTCATACTGGCGAGAAACCCTACAAATGTAAGGAATGTGGGAAGATGTTTAGTCGTCACTATCATCTTACTCAACATCACAGAGGCCATACTGGTGAGAAGCCCTACATATGTAATGAATGTGGGAATGCTTTTATTTGCAGTTATCGACTTACATTACATCAAAGAATTCACACTGGTGAGATACCATATGAGTGTAAGGAATGTGGAAAGACCTTTAGTCGCCGGTATCATCTTACTCAACATCTTAGACTTCATACTGGTGAGAAACCTTACAGCTGTAAAGAATGTGGGAATGCCTTTCGTCTTCAAGCAGAACTTACTCGACATCACATAGTTCACACGGGTGAGAAACCCTATAAGTGTAAAGAATGTGGGAAGGCTTTCAGTGTTAATTCTGAACTTACTCGACATCACAGAATTCATACTGGTGAAAAACCCTATAAATGTAAAGAATGTGGAAAAGCCTTTATTCGTAGTGATCAACTTACTTTACATCAGAGAAATCATATTAGTAAGGAAGCCCAATGCGTAATGTAAAGAGAATACGATGGCCTTAAAATGCCCCTTACAACAGCAGAGAATTTATAAGAAATTTTCTGTTTGCTAGGGAACGTGGGAATCCCTTTTACTTCATGCTCACAATTTATTAGAAATGGTTTAATATGTTGATTTAAAGAGTTGAGAAGCTATAGCATCACTCAGTCCCTGTTAGAATTTAGAAGATTGTTACTGATGCACTGCATCCCAAACCATCAAGAACTTTTTCCCCTGCAAACTGTTCTTGAACAGTGCTTCTCTAAAATGCAATAATAATGGGCCAGGTGAAGCGGCTCACACCTGTAATCCCAGCACTTTGGAAGGACAGGAGTTTGAAACCAGCCTGGGCAACATAGTGAGACCCTGCCTCTACAAAAAAAAATTTTTTTTAATTAGCCAGGTGTAGTGGCACACACCTGTAGTCTTTGCTACTCAGGAGGCTGAGGCAGAAGGATCAGTTGAGCCAAGGAGTTTGAGGCTTTAGTGAGCCATGATTGTGCCACTGCACTTCAGCTTGGTGACAGAGTGAGATCCTGTCTCTAAATAAACAAATGTGGGCCAGGCACAGTGGCTCATACCTGTAATCCCAGCACTTTGGGAGGCCCAAGTGGGTAGATGAGGTCAGGAGTTAAAGACCAGCCTGGACAACACGGTGAAACTCAGTCTCTACTAAAATAAACAAATTATCTGGGCGTGGTGGCAGGTGCCTATAATTGCAACTATTCGAGAGGCTGAGGCAGGAGAATTGCTTGAACCTAGGTGGCAGAGGGTGCAGTGAGCCAAATAAATAAATAGCAATAATATTAGATTGCCAGAAAAATGAAAAGAAAAAAGCAGACATACAAAATAAAAGCTCCAGTTTTTTATTATGGTGTTTAACCAAGTTAACTCTGTCAGATTGCTATGAACATTTCCAAATACTTGCTTCAATATGTATAACTTTTGCAGAAACCAGAAGCAAACAATTTGTGGACCAGTGCCAACACATGGACCACATTTTATATAGCATTGTAAGAGAAAATGATTCTGTTAATTTGATGAACATGGGAGAGACCAGCCTTGGCATATCTTTATGATGTATATATAAATAATTCTCGTAATTCCACCTCTGCCTATATGGTGTTTGGCAAAACATGTCCCTGTGCCTTGGTTTTTAAAATGATGATAATAGTACCACCTAATAGTATTTTTGTGAAGATGAAATGTGAATAAAAGATAAAAACCTTTAAAAGAGTATTTGGCACACAGCATTTGATCAATAAATATTGCTTTATTTTTTTCATTAGTGATACACTTAGTACATTCAAGTGAAGGCCCTGTGGGTGTAAGGAATTTGTAAAAAACATCCATTACCTCTCATGACTTATTTAGATTGGGATAATTAACTGGGGATAAAATTCAGTGAAATAGAGTAAACTTCCATTTCTAAAATGAGAACTCATCTCTGAAAATTAATGTGAGAAAGAAATCTCTAGATTTGATGGGTGTGAAGATTATGAGAGTAAAGGTTTTGAAGACTCGAAGAATCGCTGTAATGCTTTTTCTTTTTATAATCCAAAAAGCAAGTATGTTAGTCTGCTTTTTCTGCCCACAGTTAATGATAAATCAGAAACTAATAACCACTATCCATTTGGAAAAATTAAAAGAATAATGAACACTGGTATTTTCTATCTAGATTAAGCAATTGTTAATATCTTGTCATATTTGGTTTGCTTTTACATAATATTTACATATTTTTGCTATAGTATTTGAGTATAAATTGTAGATACTATAACACATAATATCTAAGAGTAAAGGCTGCCTCCAACTGAATTGCTGTATAACAATTGTCCAACCTGTCTGTGGCCCAGAGCAGCTTTGAATGCAGTCCAACACAAATTTGTAAGCTTTCTGAAAACATGGAGATTTGTTTGCAATTTTTTTTAGCTCATCAGCCATTGCTAGTGTATTTTATGTGTGGCCCAAGACAATTCTTCCATTTTAGCCCAGGGAAGGCAAAAGATTTTATGTTTTTCTCCTTAAATTTATTGATGTATTGATTTGTACTTATGACTTTCTTAAATTTTAAACATTTCTTGTGATATACTGTGATTTTTGTCATACTGCTAGTCCATTTGGTGGTATTTTAATTAGAAATTTTCCATCTATAGTCATATGAGGCAGTGTGGTTTTTTTAAAAATATATTTTATTGCATTTTCGGTTTTGGGGTACATGTGAAAAACATGTAAGATTGTTGCATAGGTACATACATGGCAGTGTGGTTTGCTGCCTTCCTCCCCATCACCTATTTCTGGCATTTCTCCCCATGTTATACTTGCCCAGCTCCCCACCTTCCACTGTCCCTCCCCTAGTTCCCCCTGACAGACCCCAGTGTGTGATGGTCCCCTCCCTGTGTCCATGTGTTCTCGTTGTTCAACACCGCCTATGAGTAAGAACATGTGGTGTTTGATTTTCTGTTCTTGTGTCAGTTTGCTGAGAATGATGGTTTCCAGGGTCATCCATGTCCCTACAAAGGACATGAACTCATCTTTTTTATGGCTGCATAGTATTCCATGGTGTATATGTGTCACATTTTCCTTGTCCAGTCTATCTTCGATGGGCATTTGGGTTGGTTCCAAGTCTTTGCTATTGTAAACAGTGCTTCAATGAACATTTGTGTGAATGTGTCCTGATAATAGAATGATTATAATCCTTTGGATATATACCCAGTAATGGGATTGCTGGGTCAAATGGAATTTCTATTTCTAGGTCCTTGAGGAATCACCACACTGTCTTCCACAATGGTTGAACTAATTTACACTCCCACCAACGGTGTAAAACTGTTCCTATTTCTCTACATCCTCTCCAGCATCTGCTGTCTCCAGATTTTTTAATGATCGCCATTCTAACTGGCATGAGATGGTATCTCAGTGTAGTTTTGACTTGCATTTCTCTAATGACCAGTGATGATGAGCATTTTTTCATATGTTGGCCTCATATATGTCTTCTTTTTTTTTTTTTCTGAGATGGAGTTTTGCTTGTTACCCAGGCTGGAGTGCAATGGCGCAATCTCGGCTCACTGCAACCTCCATCTCCTGGGTTCAAGCAATTCTCTTGCCTTACCTCCTGAGTAGCTGGGACTACAGGTGCATGCCACCATGCCCAGTTAATTTTTTTATTTTTAGTAGAGATGGGGTTTCACCATGTTGGCCAGGATGGTCTCGGTCTCTTGACCTCGTGATCCACCCACCTTGGCCTTCCAAAGTGCTGGGATTATAGGCGTGAGCCACCACACCCGGCCATATGTCTTCTTTTGTAAAGTGTCTGTTCATATCCTTCGCCCACTTTTGAATGGGCTTGTTTGGTTTTTTCTTGTAAATCTGTTTTAGTTCTTTGTAGATTCTGGATATTAGCCCTTTATCAGATGGGTAGATTGCAAACATTTTTTCCCATTCTGTTGGTTGCCAATTCACTCTAATGACTGTTTCTTTTGCTATGGAGAAGCTGTGGAGTTTGATTAGGTCCCATTTGTATATTTTGGCTCTTGTTGCCATGCTTTTGGTGTTTTAGTCATGAAGTTTTTGCCAATGCCTATGTCCTGAATGGTTTTGCCTAGATTTTCTTCTAGGGTTTTTATGGTGTTAGGTCTTATGTTTAAGTCTTTAATCTATCTGGAGTTAATTTTATTGTAAGGTGTCAGGAAAGAGTCCAGTTTCTGCTTTCTGCACATAGCTAGCCAGTTTTCCCACCACCACCATTTATTAAACAGGAAATCCTTTTCCCATTGCTAGTTTTTGTCAGGTTTGTCAAAGATCAGATGGTTGTAGATGTGTGGCATTGCCTTTGAGGCCTCTGTTCTGTTCCATTGGTCTATATCTCTGTTTGGTACCAGTACCATGCTGTTTTGATTACTGTAGCCTTGTAGTATAGTTTTAAGTCAGGTAGTGTGATGCCTCCAGCTTTGTTCTTTTTGCTTAGATTTGACTTGGCTATGTGGGCTCTCTTTTGGTTCCATATGAAGTTTAAGGTGGTTTTTTCCAGTTCTGTGAAGAAGGTCCTTGGTAACCTGATGGGGATAGTGTTGAATCTGTAAATTGCTTTGGGCAGTATGGCCATTTTCACAGTATTGATTCTTCCTAACCATGAGCATGGAACGTTTCTCCATCTGTTTGTGTCCTCTCTTATTTCGTTGAGCAGTGGTTTGTACTTCTCCTTGAAGAGGTCATTTACATCATTTGTTAGTTGTATTCCTAGGTATTTTATTTTCTTTTTAGCAGTTGTGAATGGCAGTTCATTCTTGATTTGCCTCTCTTTAAGTCTGTTATTGGAGTGTAGGAATGCTTGTGATTTTTGCACATTGGTTTTGTATCCTGAGACTTTGCTGAAGTTGCTTATCAGTTTAAGGAGATTTTGGGCTGAGACGATGAGGTCTTCTAAATATACAATCATGTCATCTGCAAATAGAGACAATTTGACTTCCTCCTTTCCTAACTGAATACCCTTTATTTCTTTTTCTTGCCTGATTGCTGTGGCTAGAACTTCCAATACTATATTGAATAGGAGGGGTGAGAGAGGGCATCCTTGTCTAGTGCCAGATTTCAAAGAGAATGCTTCCAGTTTTTGCCCATTCAGTATGATATTGGCTGTGGGTTTGTCGTAAATAGCTTTTATTATTTTGAGATACATTTCATTAATACCTAGTTTATTGAGAGTTTTTAGCATAAAGGGCTGTTGAATTTTGTCAAAGGCCTTCTCTGCATCTATTGAGATAATCGTGGTTTTTGTCTTTGGTTCTGTTTATGTGGTGAATTATGGTTATAGACTTGTGTATGTTGAACCAGCCTTGCATCACTGGGATGAAGCCTACTTGATCATGGTAGATAAGCTTTTTGATGTGCTGTCGCAATCGATGTTATAGTTTCTTTGCCTTTAAAGATTTTAGAGTTGTAATGATCTGTTCTTAATAACTAGAAACGACTTATCTTTCAAGTATTTACATTTTTGTATCTTGATATTATATTTTATGGCTTTCTAAATTCACTTAGCTTTAGCAGGGCTTATTTTTGTAAATTAGAATTTTCTATAAACACAATCAGGACATCTGTGAAGACAGTTTATCTTAATTTATATTTCCTTTATTTGCCATACTATACAGGCTAGGGCATTCTGTACAGTGTTGAATAGAAATGCTCAGAGCAAGGCCGGGTGCAGTGGCTCACACCTGTAATCCCAGCACTTTGGGAGGCCAAGGCAGGCAGATCACCTGAAGTCAGGAGTTTGAGACAATCCTGGCCAACATGGTGAAACTCCATCTCTACTAAAAATACAAAAATTATCTGGGCATAGTGGTGCACCTGTGATCCCAGCTCCTCTGGAGGCTGAGGCAGGAGAATTGCTTGAACCCTGGAGGTGGAGGTTGCAGTGAGCTAAGATCATGCCACTGCACTCCAGCCTGGGTGACAGAGCAAGACTCTGTCTAAAAAAAGAAATGCTCAGAGCAGACATCCTTACCTTGAGTCTGACTTTAGTGAAAAAGCAGTCAGTACTTTATAAAGTTCTATGTTAGCTGTTTATTTTCCCTAGATATTCTTTATCAGACTGGAAATGTTTGTTTTATTCATAACTTACTGAGTTTTATTATCAATGGTGTTGGATTTTGTCATTATCTTTTGATTTCTCTTCTTTAATGTGGTGACTTAATTTTAGAATGTCACACCAGCCTCACATTCCTGAGTTATGCCCTACTTGGTCACTATATATATATGTGTGTGTGTGAATATATATATACACACACACACATATATATATACACACACATATATATACACACACACACACACACACACATATATATAGTCACATGTAGCCAAATTCTATTTGCTAATTACTTTGGAAATTTGTATATGTATATTTATAGGTATTTTTTAATACCTAGAAACAACTTGTCTTTAAAGTGTTTACATTTTTGTACCTTGATATTTTATGACTTCCTAAATTCAATTAGCTTTAGCTATTTTAGTGAAATCTATTTCCCTTTCCCCTTGCAGTGTGACGTATTTTATGTTGTTCCTCAGAAGGTGGAGCCTTAAACATATGCACAGCTACCTTAATGTGACAATGGTTTTAAACAGGAGTCTCTTTGACTATCTTTCCCTATCTCTCTGTTAAGATGACTACCTCCTTGGTATTATTTCCAGCCCACTAGGCTCCACTGCCTTCTATCTGATCACGCCATTGTTTTCAACAATTCCTTAGAGTACAAA